ATATATATATATATATATATATATATATATATATATATATGGTGGCAGCCATCTTGGATTGTGATGTCGCAGCCCAACTTTCAAAAGGAACCTTTCATACACCTGGGTGTACTCACATACCAAAATTGAAGTCAGTACCTCACTTGTTTTTTTAAGTTATCACATGCTCACAACATGCATGGACTGACAATGGATGGAAGAGGTTATTTTCAAGTATCCCTGTTTGCTCCATGACGGGGGACAATAATTACTCTGAAAATGAAAGCAGGCTGTGTCACGCTGTAACTTTGTTCATCCCAATGCACCTTTTGGTTTGTTTAGCCAATACTTGAGTCCCTGCAGTGCTGATCCATAAACTTAAATCATGTTTTATGAATGATATTTTATGGATTTGTTAACACTTACCAGTAATACAGAATAACAAAGCTGTTATTCTTCTTTAATTCCTTTAATTATCAGGAAATAAAGTGTGTGCAATCATCTCTATGCCTCAGTGATCTTCAGTTCAATTACTCTGAAAGTGGTGTATGAAATCCATTCCCCCACACAAACGTATTTTAAGGATGCTGGAGTAGGCGAAAAGAAAAGAATGCTTTACTGCATATTACAAAGATGCAGATGGTCTTTGAACAGGTGTTAACGATCGTGCAGGCCTGCTCCACATCTGCATTTTGGAGCAGAACGTGGCGACTGAGGCCCACAGGTTCACTGAAGTTAGCGTGAACTCATAAAGTGGAGAGGGAGACGCAGACGTGAGGCGCATGGGTTATTTTACTCCGAGCCACTTGGCTTTGTTTTTGCGGAGAGGCAATGTTTGTTTTACTTATGATCGAGTTCCCCTCTCGACAGAGCACCGTTGAGCTTGCTTTGAGGGGCTCGGAGCGGCGTAGTCGCTCAGTTTTTTTTTTACTGTGTTTTAAATAGAGTCTTTGACTGAAACGGACTGTAAACAAGAGCAGACAAATCTTTGGCTGCTGCACTTTTAACCATTAGAAGACCGTACAAAATCAACAACAGGATGGTGGGAGCTATGGCTGCTGCCAGATCTGACTCGATGCCTAATCATAAACGCTCAGGATTAAATCCTTGATTCCCATAAGTAGGGAGGGATAATACTAAATGCAGCTGTGGCTGTAAGATTTGAGAAAATGCCCATCATTTCCACTTTACAACCCCCCACCCCCACCCTCCCCTTTTGTTGTGGAAATTTAGCGGTGCAACGATAAGACTGCACGTTTCCCCGATAGCAGGAAAAGAGGGAGAATGAGCTCAAGTGGTCATAATGAGAGGGTGAAGGTGGGCTTGCCGGTGCTGCCAAGGCCCTGTCACTCACTTGCTTATGATAAAACGGCCGATTGGAGGACCTACATGCACAGAGCAAGTTCAAGTTCAAGTAGGTTTATTGTCATTTCACCACATGTGGTATATGAGGTGGAACAAAATGTTGTACACAGGGTCTCAGTTACACCCAAAAATAGCAAAAATATAAAGTGTGAAAATAAACAGCATATAAAGATCTAAGATATACGCTAAACAAATGCCAAACGGTACGCTAAATGATCTAAGATATATGCTAAACACTAATAATGTCAAACAATACGTCGCAACAACAGCAGCCTGAGTTCGTTTGGCTCGTGAGCAGAGATTCCAACAGCTGTGCTAAATGAACTGCTGGTTTTTTATTCAGTGATTGTTGCAAAAAATATTCTAATTTGTATAAATTTCACACGACTCTCTTATGCTTCTTATTTTATGTGTAAAAGTGGAACTAACGCAGCAATCTCTCTCCATCAAAGGCAAAAGTTTTTAAATGTTTTTCTGTATGTGTGTGTGTTGGTTTGCACAATATATCTCATGTCCAGTAGTACATACATGTTATTTACTTTCAAGATGGCTGCCACAGAAAAGCAGTCTCTGGAAACACAAACTCAGCAAGTTTTACAGCTAAATGTATATAAGTAGCTGACACACAACGCATGTTCCATGGCCTAGTACCAGTATGCAATGTATTTGCTTAAAACTTTGTTGCCCTTTTTGTTTGTTAGCAAATATTCCATGAACCATTCAATAGATTTTTTTTTTTTTTTTCCGAAACTAATTGTTGATTCTACACCTACAATTAATTAAAGTTTGGAGTAACACCATGACCCCTACAATAATCAATATTAGCAAACACAAAACTGTCTTTAGCTCAATCAGTTTTAGAAATATTGAGCTAAACATTGGCGTGGTAGTCACTGAGACTCCTCCTCAACACATAGTTTGAATGCGAACAGATCTCAAAAGATCTAAAAGCAGCTCAAAATATAATGTAAAGGGTTAAAACACTTGGTTTAAAATTTTAGTGTGAAAGGCAGCAAGAGGTGCTGCTATAGGCCTTTAAATGTTGTTAATGTCAAGTATTTTTATTCAGGCATAAATGTGACCCTAAATGTAAACAGCACGATTGAAGGACCTTTCATTCTTTAAACCCATTTTATATCTAATATCAGAAGCCCAGCGAAAGTTTGGGAGCAGGCCTGTGGTGCTTGTTGGTTGTCTCTGAGGTTATCTCTGGTCGTCCTGCAGCCCGAGCTGAAGCCCACGGCACTTTTCACCCTCATTCATCCGTCCCACAGGGTCCTCCGTCAGCTGCCAGGTTCCTTTCCCCGCTCAGCTGAATGGTGGAAAGGGATATAAAGTTTCTCCACAAAGACTGATTCAATCCATCTATTCAGGAAACCCGACGCCAGCTGCAGTATCAGCTCGTGCATCTGACCATTACAGAGTGGTTGCAGGGGGGAGAATGGGGAGCTAAGAGAGCGAGGGCTCTCAGAGTGGATTCTGGGGTTCTCAGAGGTGTTCCTCAGGGTCTCAACCTGTAAATATTAAATCTGGATTTAGCCATATTTTTAAACTAATCATTTTCAGGGCTCACTGGGACAAACTCCCATCCAAAGTGTGTTTCTGTTTCACTCCACACCTCCCATAATAATGGATATCATCTCTCTGCTTTTGCCCCCAAACAAGGAAGACACTTCTGTGCCGTACTCACCCCTCCTTCTGTCGGGCTGGCGACCCACCCCAGCTCCCCCTGGACGGCTCTGGAGTCCAGTAACGTGACTGGAAGACAAGAAGAGGAGAAGAAAGCAGTCAGACTGTCCTCCCAGCACCAGCTCTGGCAGATCTAATCCAATCAGGCCTAACAAACCCAGGAGGAAAAATCCCTCCTGGTTCACTTTCACTGAAATAACAGCTGAAGCCGTGCATCAGGTTGGAAAAAACATTTACCATGAAGATCAGAGAACATTTTTAAAGCCTGTTTTTATTTGTAAATGTTTTGTTCCAGGTCGATCTGGTAGATATTTGTTCAGAAAATGATTTAATATGAACAACATGATTTTTCCTGATTTAATTGGAGCAAAGGGCAAAAACTTCCTTTGGACTGAAAAAAATATAACATATAAAGTAATAAAATAAAACAATATAAAATATAAGTGTTGGTTTTAATAGATCGGACATATCAATGGACCACAGATGCAAAGAAAACTTCAGCAGCCCATTGAAGAACTGTTTGTAAAATCCTTAATCAGCTGCTCAGATGACAGAAAATACAATTAATTATTAACATGCTCAAAATATCAAAACATGAATTTATTTATTTAGAGCACGTGAGTTGTTTCAACAAGATTTCTTTTGGGAACCAGAATCTGTTTGTGTCACATGCGGAGGCATTTAGTAGAGTTGGTTAAAAACAAATAGAACATGTGAAATCAGGATGAAGAGGCTGTGGGGTGATGATGATGATGATGATGTGGAGACACTGCGGAGCACTGAAAACATTTTGTTTAAAACCTTTTGCGCTTTAATAAACCGACGCTTTTTGAAATTAAAATCACTTTAATGTCTAAAACAATAAGTTTTAATCAGTTTTTAATTGAATGTGTTGCTGTTTCAAATAAAATCATCCTCTTCCAGCAGAAGCGCGTTAGAAGCTGACCCGGTCCGTTTACAGAGGGTTCCTCCAACCCGACACCCAATTTACTTCAGTTTATTTTCCTGCTTGTTTATGAGAGTTTGCGACATTTAACTGAATTCTGAGCTGACTGTCCTTATGTTTGATGTTTTATGCTGGTGGATCCATGGAGCCACTTGTTTGGGCTCTCAACAGCTGAAGCGATCCGAACCTGAGCCGAGGCCAGTGGACCTGTGGACAGTACTCCTAAATCCACTTTCAAACTTAAATAAAACATAATAAAAAAAAAAAGCAGCCGCGCGTAAAGGTGACCATGACCGTTTGTTTCATTGAGCGCCGCGCGGCTCCACGCAGGGGGCTCCGCAGCGCACAGAGTCCGAGGATGGATTCTGAAATCCGTGGCTGTTCTGGATCTCCCAACAACCTTACCTTCATTCTGGGGGTAAATCCGTGTCGAAGAACCAAGAAGAGCAGAAATCCCAGGAAGAAGAAAGGTGGCCGTGAACACAATCCCTGCCATGAGTGCCATTTGCGTCGCTGGTCCCGTTTTTCCTCTTTTTCTTTGCGTTTCTCTTCTCTCTGGTCCCGCTCTCTCCCTCCCTCGTTCACGCTCTCTCTCTCTCTCGCTCTCTTTCTTTCTCTCCCCCTCTCTTTCCCCCAGTGTTTCCCAGTGGAATAGTGGTCTGAAGCGGACAGCAGCAGCAGAAAGACGCACGGAGCGCTCCTCGGGCAGGAGGTGGGTCTGTGCGCTCTGACGCGCCGCCCGCAGCTCCAGAGCAGAAACCTATGGGACAGAGGAGCAGGATGCAAATAACCATTAAATCAATAACTGCTGCTCCCCTACCCCCCTACCCAACTTCACCAGCAGGGGTGAGATAGTAATGATCAAACCTGTAGAAGTTCCTGGGCACAGAAAGGACACAGGACTCCCCGCCGCTCTGAGTCACCAGCTGGTGGTCCAAAAATAAACTTTTTGCAGTTTCACCTTCTTGTTTCTCGCTGGTGAAAACAAACTAATAGCGTGCGGGTGAGCGCGCTCCCGGGATCATCGCGCACACTCAGACACTGAGTAAAATCAGCGCAGTCTAAAGTCTAAAAATGTGCCAGTAAAATCCACCCGCGTCCGATCCTGTCCGCGTGCGCTCATCAGTAGTCACACTGTGCTGGTTCTGCGAGTCGCCTGGCCCCAGCCTCACCGGAACAAGGGCGCCCCCTGGCGGACACACTGACCACTCCTCTGCTTCCAAAATTAGATTAAAGAACATGACCTGTGTCTTAATGCGCGTCATAAAGCTGACGATAGCCGCTCTGGGCTCTGTAGCTGGTGTACTGGATCATTGTCACTTGGTGTTATTCTAATATCATCGCGTTTTAGGAGGATCCAGGTCCATCTGTTGGGGTGCACAAAACCTGAGGTTTTCAGTTTTTCTCCTAACAAAGGCTGCTTTGTTCCTGCAGAGAACAGCCAGCTGTGTGCAGGTTGGACGTTTTGTTTCGGTGCTCTCTCATGCCTCCAGCCTCCTACACAGGTCGCCCTAACGCTCCCTCATGAGACGCTGCAGGCAGCCAACCTCTCAACGATCTGAGGAGATGTCTCTGTGTGGGCAGGTCAGGGCGTTCTGCATCAGCACACTCCACCACAACTGGCACCTTTTTCAAATATTGTGTCTCCACTTAAGTGGAATTTGTCCTTTTGCAGATTAGAGATGAAACGATTCAGATGGGACAATTGTTCCTGCCCAGAAATCCTTGAGGAAGTTACTGTGTTCAGCTGCTTCGTAAGGTGGGAAGTCAAAACAAAATGTAATCACTCAGATCAGACAAGAATCTTGGAAATTTAAATAATCTGCAGGCGTGTTTGTGATTCATCACTTAGACTCAGAGCTCTGATTGCAAGTCAGTGAGGGTAAAAGCTAAGAGGCAGTTTCTGCAAACTCAGCAGGTGTCCTGCCATTACAGCATCACATACAAAAATGGGTCTTTGTGAGGAAATGTGATTTGTATCCACTAATTTCAGCTTCTGAACCTTTTAGTCACCGTCTTACTGAGCGTAGGCCTTCAAAGTCTTCTCATTATTCCAAAGCTTTCACGGTACAGGCAGATGATAATGTTACACACGTGTCTGTGAGGGTGCATTTGTCTGTTTTTGTTCCCTGTCGCAGAGCGAAAATGGGGAATTGGAAATACCTTCCATCCATCCATCCATCCATCCGTGCATCCGTCCATCCGTCCATCCGTGCATCCGTCCATCCGTGCATACTGTGAGAATGACAACTTGAAAAATAAGCGAGGTACAGACTTCCATTTTGCTGTGTGGCTACATTACATGCAGCACGGTGGCACAACTGGTTGAGCTGCTGCCTCTCAGTGAGCAGGTCCCTGGTTCAAATCCCTGTCTGGGGGTCTTTCTGGGTGGAGTTTGCATGTTCTCTCCGTGCATGTGTGGGTTTTCTCCAGGTACTCCGGTTTCCTCCCACAGACCAAAAACATGCATGTTAGGCTGATTGGTAACTCTAAATTGTCCCTAGGTGTGAGTGAGAGAGTGAATGGTTGTTT